CTGCTATTGGTTTCATGACTGTAACACTACAGAAGATACATGGTTCTTTGCAACAGGCTTAGCTGGAATTCGTGGGTCCATATGATTGACCTATAACTGCTTCATCAAGGAATAAGGGTGTGTCATTCACCAGAGTTCACACAAGGAACTTTGTGAACTCCCCCCTTTGAACCATTAGTTTGTTATTTGTTCTTTTGTTTTCAAATTGAAGTATTTTTTTAGCACTTTATGGTGTGAACAACAAAATTGATAGCAAATTATTGGTGAAATCCCAGTTGTATCATTTGGACCCAGGAGTCAGGCTTAGTTTGGAGGACTTCATGGACAGAGGTAAAAGGAAAGAGGATTGGAAAGGATCCTAGGTCTCTTCCCTAATACTTCTTGTGATGCTTGGTTGGTATCTTTTTTTTCTTACTTTTTCACCTGTTACTTACACATCTACTTCTGTTTACACATGCTTTTTATTTGGGGTAGCTGTATATCTGGAAAGGAAAAGGTAGGCTGTGCCTTGGCACAGTGGTCTTGAGGAGAGAACTGAGACTACAGCAACATCTTTTCCTGCTGGGAAGAAAGAATGGAAAGGATGATTTTATCTTTCTGATCCCTTACTGGTAGGGATTATTGGCCCCACATAATTTTTGTTGGCTGACTCTAAAGTGGTATACRTTTTACTTGCAATACTGCTGTATTTTGAGCACAAAGTCAAGGACTTCTGTGCTACTGGGCTGTACATTTCTAAGTTAAAGATTATTTATCGTTTTGTTAGACATTCTTTGTAGTCCCTCACTTCTTGTGTTCTGTACAGCCATTTCTTTCTGAAAATATTCATCCCTGTACTCAAACAGATTGTGCAGATGTGATATGTGTGTTAAACATGGAAGAACAGGATTTAGATTAGTTAGATTGAGCTAAAGGCATCTTCTTTGTTGGAAGAGGTAGGAATAAAATCTCCATGCCCTGAGGCTGTAGGGCTTATGCAGGGACCATGTTCTTCTAGGAAGCTATCCAGTGTGTGAGGAAGTAAGGGGATCTCATGCATGTGTAATTTCCTTTTCTCCATATTCCCAGAAACTCCCTTGCACTTGTACTCCCTGAGAAGCATCTCCTTTCCTGCTTTCATGAAATGCAATTTTTGCTCTTCTGACTTGTGAAGCTGTCCAGGGAAGATATACAGGGGCAACTGTTGCTCACTGGAATATAAGGAAATATTTGATGATTGTGCCAGTAGCAGCAGATTGAGCACTTCAGTGGGTGTCATTGAAGTATTGACTTGGTCATGATTTTGGCATGCTTCCATACTTGAAATGCCACAAAAATGAAGGTGAGAGGAATCCTGCCCTGCACTCCTTCATTYATCAATTCTTCCTGGAAGCTGCAAAGTCAAGGCAGTAGTCATTGGCCAAGAGAAGTGCATAACCTTCTAACTTCCTGCATGCCCATTCCTCTTTATGCACTTCTCTTTGGAAATGCGGGGGTATGATCATCACCACTTTGTTTTGCTTTTGTAATGTATTTTGTATTCCTTTTTGCCAGCTGGCTTGCCTTTTGCAATTCTCAGTTCACGACGTATCCCCTTCCAGAGAGGCGTTTTCTGTAGTGATGAATCCATCCGGTATCCATACAAAGAGGACACCATTTCTTATAAGTTCTTAGCAGGAATAATTATTCCTTTCAGTGTAATTGTTGTAAGTTAAACTTTTCTTCATTGTTTTTAATTTCAGTGGGGGTGGGGAAGAGGGAGGAGGGGCACTCTGTTAATATAGATTTACAAAACTGTATTCTGTAAGATTTCTCAATCTTAAAATAATGTCCTTAGGCCAGGTGCTAAAGCAGTAGAAATGGTGTTCTGCTAATAATGAAAAGGTTTTCTTTAATCAAGGTCAAACAGCTAGAATTACAGCACAGAAAAAGAATGCATAAGAACCCTAGAACTATGGGGGTTTAGATCTATAGTCTGAGATATAAAACCTATTTTTTTAAAACCATATTTGTTGAAAATAACACTAATGTGTAAGTGACTGTCCGAAGTCTTTTTATTTTGGGACCTGCTACTGTCAGAATATCAGTGGGCATGACGTATTAAGTCATCATTTTTATTTGATGCAAAATCATTGGGAATATTTGTGTGTGGAAGTGTAACAACAGATAGTAGCCTGTTTAAGAAAAATACCACTGCTTCCAGTCACATCTTATCAAAAGCATAAAAAAGAGTAAAAAGAATAAGTAGCTGTGGAGATTTTCCCTGAACGTCCGCATAAAACTATGGGGGCCACCTTTCACATTTCACCTAACCTGGCTGAAAACAGGGTACTTCTTTCCTTCTCATCACACAGGATCAGTGAGCTAAAGAGATTCTCTGTGACTACTCATTTGGGATCTCTCTGCCACAGCTCCTAGCTCAGCTGAACCGTCTGAAGCATGTAGTGACTCTCTATCCCTAATACTTAATTATAAGCTGCCAGCTGAGCTAACCTAATAGCTTACTATATATGGACAAARGTTGAGGTCCTGCTATTGCCCTGTTTGTTGCCACCTCCTGTGGCTTGTCTGAGCCCGGATCAGTTAGTTAAATTCCTTAGCCTGGCAGAAGACAACAGCTTTCTTTGAGCTATGGAAGAATATCAGTGCGGGGGTAAAAAGTAGCTGGGACATGTCCTCATGAGCAGAGGGGACAGTTGGACCTCTTCAGTTAACCATTTCATTTCCTAAGTCTGATGGGACTTCAGTTCCTACAAGGATCCTTCAGCTAGGGCCTTGAGATCCTTATCCAGTGGGGCAAAAAAACTTCAGTCTCCACTGATAGCTCCATTGGATGGCATCTAAGCTCATCAGAGCCACACCTTGAACAGAGTTAAAAGTCACTTATGCAAAATAAGATTTTTAGGTTTATAAATATTTATCCAAGTATATTTAGGAGTATGATCAAAATGAAAAGGCACAGCTAAATATAATCCTCACTATTGACCAGCTGTTTCTCTGGGCTAACGGATTAACATCAGGAGGCATATTATGATCATCTAGTTCTGCCTTGCATAGGGATTGCACAGATTTTTATCAAGGATCCAACATAAAGGTCAACTTGCAGCTCATGTTTGCTCATCAGTCCCAATTTTTTTTGTAAGTGTAGAAATACGGTGTGAGAATTGAAACTGTGACTTGCTTGGTTTCCCTTTTCTTGGAAAAGCTGCTTCAAAAACTTGTGGAAATATTTCTGAAGCAGATGAAATTTGGGGTGGGGGGAGGGGCTGTGTATTCTGCTAACTGGCAGGTGGTTTTTGCCAAAGATCCATTTAAGATCAGACTTTATTTTTTTTTTTTTCTCACTGTTACTACCTTTGATGCTACTTGAGAGCATTAGTGCTTCATCAGAACTGAAGCCCACATAGCTTATCTCAGTTCTAGAGCAGTTAAAAAAGTTATGTGAGGAAGAACAGAATAGAGCATGGAAAGATGGGTATTTTGCCCTCAGTACTTGGCTACCAGCCATTTACAACTCAGGGACTTCCTGAGTCAGAAAAGGCTCCACTGAATATAATTTTTTTAATGAATGTATTCCCTGTGAGTTAGTCTAATCTCCATTTGAGCCTCTATGAACATATAGCTAACAAAGTTACTTTTGCAAAATCAGGGACCATGTTTTAGTTGTGAAATCAGGCTTTTCTGTCAAGATTGCTTCATAATCAGATGGTAAAAGCAAACATTGGTGTCCTTTACTCAATGCTCAAGTCAGATTATTGAAGTTGAATATACTTTGATATCTGTCCAGGGAAGTAATTGCATTGACATCAACTAATTATTTTGTTATCTCAGCTGAGATAAGTGACCTTCTTGCAGGTTTTGCAGCAGTGTTCTTTGCGAGGGATTAATTATTTACCTATCATGGCTATTTGTGCACATCTATGTTCCTGAAGAGGTTACTTTCTGGATTAGGTGGATTGTCTATGTACTTTACTGAACACTTCCTCAGCTTCAGTCCGTGTTCCGGTATTTTTCTGCTTCAGTCCTTGTTTGGGTATGGAGGAGGGTGTAAAGCTTCAGTGTCACACATCTGACAGTGTCATCATGCAAAGCTTCTGACAAGCTGTCACTCTGTGTGCCTGGGTGGCAGTATCTAAGTAATGGCTTCATTCACCAAAGCTTTGCCTTGCTGGGATCCAGGATCTGGCACTCTCAAGTGACAGAGTAATAATTTTAATTTTCACATGATTTTTCAAGATAACTTTGCATATAACTTTATATAGCCCCTTGCATATCTGATCATCTGTATGAATTGATCCTTTTTGTACAGAATGGAATCATCTGGTTCAATATCCAAATTATCTGGAGTGAAGTTCTGTATTTGACATAAGGAAAAACTTACTTTCTGCAAAAGACAAAATTGCAGGAAAACAAAATTCGATCTGCTTTCTTGTCAATATTTGGTACATGTACCTTAGACATGTAACCTCAGTAAAACTTGTCTTTCCCTACTCTCATTAGTTTTCTTCCCAAAGGATTTAATTTTCATGAGGGATAGCAAATATCTTTGTTGAAACATCTGGCCTTTCAGATCTGGATACAAATTCTTGGCCCTTCAGAATAGTTTCTGGTTTCATGAGAAACCTAACAAGCTTAGAAAAATTTTGCTCAGGAGAAGCTAGTTGAAGAAGACTCAATGTAGAATGAAGTTATACAGGAGAAAATGTTTCTGAATAGGGCCATGCCAAGTAGTATGGATAAATACTTCTCTGAGAAGGCTTTGTTTTAATAAGTATTCTGAAAATAATATGATTAAGTTCAACATGAAGCAGGATAAAGTAAAAGAGTGCTTCTTTTCTGTGTGAAAGTGTTTATAATGTTTGGATATGGTTATTGCTGACTCTTAGAAAACTTAAATTTGCAGCTTAGTGTTCATAAAAAGATAATTTCTGAAACTGCATGTCTGAATATTAACAAAAATAACATAATACTTTTCTTTTAAAGTTATTGTCTTTAACTTGTTCTCCTTATTTCTCTTTCAGATAATCGTAGGAGAGGCTCTCTCAGTCTTTTATAATAATTTGCACTCAAATTCATTTGTCAGAAATAACTACATAGCCACTATTTACAAAGCCATTGGGACCTTCATTTTTGGGGCAGCTGCTAGCCAGTCGTTGACAGACATTGCCAAGTACTCCATAGGCAGACTGCGTCCTCACTTCCTTGCTGTGTGCCAGCCCGACTGGTCGCGGATCAACTGCAGCCTGGGCTACATTGAGAACTTCACTTGCCATGGGGACAAAGCAAAAATCAATGAGGGAAGGTGAGTCTGACTAACCTTGTATACTTGCTTATATAACACGTTTGTTAACTTGAAACAATGAGTTTGGTAATGCTGCTGCAGTTCTTGTGCTTCTAGAATAAATTTATTGTAATGAATTTTAAACTTTAAACCCTGTCTAGACACTGGGAGGTTTTTTTCATTTTGTGAAAGCTTGTTTTATTAATGTGTAGATAAATGCCTGATTGTGTGTTTATTTCTGCTTATTTAGAAAATGTGTGTGATTGGCATTTTTTTGTTTTAACCAGCTTTTATTTATGTTTCTAAAATGTCTGCACCACAATGAAGGGAAGAATTTGAAATCTGCCTTAGAAATTGGGTGTAGAATAGCAAAGGAAATCTTTTCATTTTGGAATGGAAACAAATAAAAACTGCACATCCATACAAATGTGCAGGAATATTAGGAGAATAACACTATTAATTTTTCTCATTATTAATAATTTTTTAATCTTAAATACTTTCCTGCCAGTTCAATTGCAGCAAGATACTGCAAGTGTGGAAACAAGAATAAAGCATCTGACACATCACAGTTTAATCACTGTGCAATAAACGCAGTGTTTGAGTGCTGTTGGAAATGTTAGAAGTATATTCAGAATAATTTGAGTTGCTTGAGCTTTCTGCAACCTTAGGTTTATAGTAGAGTACTAGCCATTCTTTTACCAGCTCCATATGCCCTCTTAGTTAGAACTTCATGTGGTTTTTAAGTGGGTGTGTGTAATTTTGCTTACTGTCCTCTGTGCTCCTTTTCTCTTCTAGCATGTGTTCCCTATAATTTTCCAATAGCATGCATAGCATTTCTCAGTAGCCATAGGAACACATTTATGAAATGTGAATGGCTGTTGGTGGTAGAGGAGCAAGTGCATGGAGAGGAAGTAGAGCAGCACACTAGGTATGTGTGGCAGAAGCTGCTGTGTCCACAGAGCCAGTGCCAGCCAGCTCCAAGTCTTTAGTTTAACTTTTTCATGACTCTAAAAATACTTCCATGTAAAAAGGGGCATGGAGAAAATTTGAATTGGTTGTTTGATGACTGAAATGGTCCTGAAATAAATCTTTCTGGGGATGCTGACAAACAAGAATTAGCTTATCCTTAAACAAAAAAATAAGCGTTTCTTGTATGAGAATTGTATGAAGGAACAATGGCGTTGTGGTCACTTACCTTGTATTTTCCCCTGTGCTGTGAAATCTGACTTGCATATTGGAAGCATGATGTGTTTGTCATCTCTTAACTGATCAGCTATTAGGTTTGTATTTCCAGCCCTGTTGTGTTCCCCATTTCTGTGCCCACTGTTTGCCTGTAGAGTGATTTGAGAGGGCTCTCCTGTTTGGTCAGCACTTGTCTTGAAATGTTCACTTAAGTGTGAGCTCACTTGTGGGGCTTCTGTTCTCAGCTGAGGCTCTTCCATGCACAGGAAGTTGTAAACAAAACGTTTGTGAGTGGTCAAAGAGGAATAGGATAGATTAAAATAGGACATTATCCTATTTATCCTACAGGTGGATGACCTGGATGCAGTGACCCAGTAAATCTCTCAGGGTATCCTATGGAAATTGGGTTTCAATGATGTTGGGTCATAAGTCTGTGGAGAGGCTATGTGCCCAAGGGCATTAACCTTTCAGTTAATAGCCCATGAAGAGAGAGAGGTGGATTGCAGTGAGTTTTACAGCAAGCTGGAAGAGGTCGGTAGCCTCTCAATCTGTAACCCAGAGATGAATTTCTATATCAGTTACAAAATAATAGTGGCAAACCTAGTACCATCTAGGCTCATTTAGCATAGATTAAATGGGCAGGTAGAAATGTAAAGAAGGAATGAGAATGGGACAGCATTGTTGTGTTGCATATAAAATAATATGTTCTGAATTGAACCTATGATTCCTGTATAGTAGTAAAACTTGAAGTTGTGTTTTAATATTTTGAAAGTTTCATGCTTGATAGTACAGTCAAAAAGACAAATCTAATACATATTTTTTCATAGAAAACAATGAGAGCAGTGTAAAAATTCATTGTGTGCTTTCACTATTTGTATTGTATTCTTCTGATCAGTTATCTCCCTTCTCATTTCTTTTTAGCATTTTATGCTAATCAAAAGTATAAAGTAATTTTGGTATGCAGCATTCCTGAGTAGATCAGACCTCTTGGTCTGAAATAGAGTGTGTGTGTGTGTGTTGAAGAGATGGGTGTAAGATAGAAGTTTCTAAAGGATACTCTGGAAGTGGTCAGAAATTAGGTAATCAATCAGTGTTTCCATTTCTTCCTTGACAGTAAAAGTGGAAGGGGAAACATGTGAAGTGGTTTAATTTTTCCCATATGAAGATTAAGGAATAAGCTGTGTAAGTTCTTGAAAGTACTTCATAGTACTTAATGTGTAAGTTTGATTCAAAGGGATTTCAAAACACCATTTGCAGAGACTTCTAGAAGACTAACCACTAAAAAGCAGCCTGTGTTTCTGGAAGCCCATAAGTTATGGTTGGAGGCTGAGAATGTTCTAGGCAAACATATTGCGTATTATGTTCCAGTACTCTTTTCTGTAAAACGGATGCTTCCAGCTCTTTGCAAATGTCTGTTATATTATAACATGGGGGTGTAAGAGAATTATAGTAATTATTTTTTTATTTCTCAGTGCCAACAACAGTATTAGAACACATGCATGTTTTATTGGGAATGTAAACCAGTGGATTTAGGGTTGATTGTCTAAAAGAGTGAAGTGCCCATGGGTTAGTGGGTTAGTTTCAATAAGGTTTCTCTTTCTAACTTGAGATGAGTAAGATAATTCTTGTTCATTGAGGCATCTTGCTTGCTGTCTATCATGCTGAAAACAGTCCTCTTCAGTTTTAAAGACCTTAGGTTCTCCTTGACAACTTTTAGAGTATGTTTGCACTTCCATTACTACTGGTGGCTCAGCACACCAGAAGATCACAAGCACAATTGTCTACTTAGTAAATCACATTCATATTTGCTGAAAGATGCATGTAGGACTTGGCACGTATACGTCCAAGTTTGTCGGACTTGAAGAACTGTAAAATATGCATGGAAACCAGTGGCTATATAAAAAATTGCTAGTTAAATATTATTATAAACTGTACTTTTTTTTTCTGTGCTTCTTTGTAAGGCAATTGCTTTCTTCAGGCAGTGTTTGGCATGTAATTGCAAGCTTCAGTGTCTAGTTTAAATGAGCCACTCAATGGCACTTTTCTTAGGTGAATGACTTGTACCAAACTGCCATCTCAAGCTTTACAGAGGTGTTGATAGGTTTGATTGTTATCTAGTTGTGTGTTGAGCTGTGTAGTATTCCTTCCAAATAAATACTAAGACTAGTAACTCAATATAGGTGCCTGACGTGGCTTGTTTTAGTTACAGAAAAGTAAATTTGATATAGATGCACAAGTTACAGTGTCTATGAATCAAGACAGATCAAAGTCATGGTGTACTCCTGTAATTGGTTCTTGCACTTTTATTGTTCTACTGTGTACTTTAATGCTACTGAATTGCCTTTGAGGTGATTCGTTGGCACCTATAAATATAACTAGTCAGTTGCTCTTTTTCCCTTTCAAATAGACAAAGCAGGGTTCAGTACAATAGGTAGGTGTGCCAGGCTATAGCCCTGATAAAGTGGAGGTGTGAGTGAGCAGTGTCTACTAATCTCTGATCTCTGGCTTTTGCAGCTTCCATTTTTGCTCATCTTCCTTTTCTTCTGTCTTTCCACTGGAAACCTTTGCCTGGCTTTGATTGGCAAAATACCAAAATTCCTCAAGGAGAAGTAGGCAGATAGGCGAGGGGATGGTTTCTCCATTCGGTATTGGTAGCTAAGGCATAATTCCCAAACCTGTCTGCTCTAGCCAGTCCATGGCAGATTGTTCATACATCCTCTTTGCTAGCTTTCCTTTATCCAGATGATTTAGCAGAAAACCATGGACGTGCAGCAGCAGCTCTGAATTAGTATTTCACTGTTCCTCTGGTAAGTGTATTTAGCTGTAGTTACTGGTTGTCTGAATTGAGTGTGTAAACAGTGAGGTTTGAGTGTCTGAGAGTAACAGAGGAGAACATCAAGAGCTGCTCTTTTTCTCTAGTAAATCAGCACTTGATTGCTCTGGAATAGATTTTTTTTTTTTTAACGTTTGCTAGAGGGGGAAACAGGACAATTTTATAACGTATTTGTTCAGTTAAGCTGAAATATATTGTGCTTCAAGATTTCAGGATGGTTTAATGTGCCTTCTGACTATATCATTGGGATGTACTGAGCCATGGTGTGGCAATATTATCTGGTGTCTCCCAACTAATTTTGGCAATCAGGAATTGCTAAGGCAAAATTGGTTGCCTTTGCATAGGCAAGCGTTGATAATCTCTAGGAAGTAGGATCAGGAATCCAGGGGACACATTTTACCAGACCGATCTGAACGTGGTAAAGGTTGGCGTTAGTGGTCACCTTAAGCAAAGAATGTGTATTTCCTATTGCTTGGAAAATCTAATCTCAAAAAAAGTAAATGAGATTTAAATAAAGGTTCTGTCAATATTTTTTTCTGGAGGAGGGTGAGAACTTTGTAATGGTGGTAGGTGTTTCTCTCCTGTTTTATAAAGTTCTTTCCCACAAGCAAATAAAAACTAAAACAACAACAAACACAACTGCCTAAGCCTACCCAGCAAAAAACAAGCCAAAATTGAACAAAACCTCTGTAAAAACAACATAGAACCTCAAAGGCAAACTTCTGATACTGATAAGTTGTGTGTGATTGAAATAATATTTCAATTAGTCTTATTTAAGTCTCAAACAATGTAGCAGATGCTATATAGAGCTTACAGTATTTTTAGAATTTAATTTAGGATTGTGCTGTCACTTCAGTGTGTGTATATATATATATATATATATATATATATATATATATAATTTTATAAACTTGGCAGCACAAAGTGCACATTAAAGGCTTGTGTAAAGGTCAGGTATATTGAATCTGATACTATTTAAACTTAGATTTTATCCACAAAATGTTAA